TGGTTGTGGTGGTGGTCGTGGTGGTGGTGTTGGTGGTGGTGGTGGTGGCGGCGGCGGTGGTGGTCGTGGTCGTGGTCGTGGTGGTCGTGGTGGTCGTGGTGGTCGTGGTGGTCGTGGTGGTGGTAGTGGCGGTGGCGGTGGCGGTGGCGGTGGCGGTGGCGGTGGCGGTGGCGGTGGCGGCGGCGGCGGCGGTGGTGGTGATATGACCCAGCAGTTACGCAGGTCCTCTGCACGTCTCGTGTTTTTGGTAGTGTCTTGAGGTTAGGGGGTTCACAAGTTTCAGCTTGGTAATGTTCAGTGCCCTGGGGTCTGGGGGCTCATCATCACGTTCTGCTGAAAACTTGTTAGGTCACTTTAGGTATCTTGGGGTTGGGGGTCATAACAACAATATGTTGAAGTTTCGATTTTGTCGGCGCTGTCTGCTAGCCCAATTTACCGATGTTTACAGCACTCTGTGGCTTTGTACTTAGTTGATGGGACTGACTGGTGTTTCGGAATATATGCAAGACCGGCAAAAAGCTAGCCTCAAACAAACCGCCGAGCACACTTTTGCAACCAGACTGAAAGATGACCATGTTCGTTTGAAGCTTCAGTTTGCTCATATTACGTCTGCGGGCTTGGGGGCTCATCATATATAACCTTCTACTGAAGTTTCATTTTGGTTGTGATAATGTGCTCGGCGATGTAGTTTGAGGCTGGGGTTTCTTCAGGTCTTGCTTCTAGCCTGATGCACCACTCAATCCCATTAAATTAATACAAGGCCACAAAGTAGAGTAAATAGCACTGAACTTGGCTAGTCTGGGAAGGCTATGTCGGCATGCTTCTTTCAGCCGTAAAACCCCACAAAACGCTCAGTCGGCCTCTACATCCGTGACCTACTAGTACGAGTACGATTACTAACACGAGGAGGTGAGGAGGAGGAGTAGTAGTTGTTGTAATAGTAGTTGCAGTAGAAGTAGCAGTTGCAGTAGCAATAACAGCACCAGCACCAGCAGCAGCAGCAGCAGCAGCAGCTGTAGTGGTGACAGTCGTCCGTCGTCATAATCACATTACTAAGAACAAATGGTGTACTAACTTCACCAGTTGCTGTAGTTGCCGTCATTGCCGCTGTTGCTACTGATGCCGACTACGTTGGACTCGTACAGAACAAAACATAGCCATGATAAGAAGGACAACGGCGCTGTCAACAACAAGTATACTTCAGCTGCGACTGGTCTGATTCAGATCCTCCCCCCTAACCCTAAACCCTAAACCCAACACCGTAAACCCTGGAAAACTGTGGGAAGTTCTCACAGGATCCTATGAGCTATACGCAAACTTAACTCCTAGTATCCCCCTTAATATCCCCTACAATACTCCCCGATATAATCCCCCTACGTAACCCCCTTTAAGGAGTTTAGACTCGAGCTCATATAGGGCCTGTTACCTTTGTATGAGGGATCTCATGTTTAGATCCTCCCAGGTGGTCTGGGTTCTGGGGGTCCCTTTTAAGGATTGTATAGGGATAGTGAAAAAGAAAATGGAAACTACTATTATGGTACACTATGGTATATTATGGTACATTATGGTATATTATGGTATATGATGGAATATTATGGTATATGATGGAATATTATGGTATGTTATGGTATCTTATGGTAAGCCCAGCCTTCGGCACTAACCTCTGAACAGCCATCATACGGATGATGTTCTCCGTGTCCTGCAGGCAGGCTCTCAGGAAACTCAACTCATACGCACATCTTGGGTTCTGCCCCCGCCCATTAAGAGTCCACAAGAGGGTCATGCTTGGAGGGTCAGGGGGACTTAATAAGTAGGTTAATAGTGGGGATAACTAATGTTACTATATGGATTATAGGGGTTAGAAACCTACTTACTAAGTCCCCCTGACCCTCCAAGTAATCAGGGCTGCAAATTAGCTATAGTCTAAACTCCTGGCATCCCCCTTAACAACCCCTATAATGGTTCCCGATATGATCCCCCATAGACCCCCTGTGGCTCACGAGTGGGGCAATATCCAGCTCATGCCTGCCGTGGAGACAGCAGGGTTTAGCGTTCAGGGTTTAGAGTTTAGGTTGGCAAGCCGGGATGTCAAGACTGAAGCTAAAACCCAGACCCTTGGGAGGATTTAGAAAGTAGAACCCCCAATATGGTACCTCATACTGACTCATACTCATGTCGGGTAATTTCTAGAAGCCCTAAAAGGGGATCTACTTTCTAGATCCTCCCGGGGGTGTGGGAACCTGGCAAAAGCGGTGATATATTACATTGACGCATCAGTAGTTCCCAGACCGGGCCCGTATCAGCGAATTCCAATCGCGCATTAAGGTGTAATTAGAAGCATATACCGTGGGCAAGAAAACAATCCTTCTTCTTCTGGGGACCTCCCAAACCTCATTCACAACTTTGGCGAACCCTATCACAGCCTACAAGCTTCCTGCACAACTCTGGATGCGCCACGCGTCCAAACCTCAAAACCCTAGGCCGCAAACCCCAAACCCAAAAACCGTGTAGTTGGTGTGCTTTCTCCTCTTGCATGACGCTCTGGCAGAGGAGGTTTGGGAGAATGAACCTAAAGAGCAAACATGGGGGGCTCAGCTGAATCATCCTTCCCAAGACAGTGAGAGATGATGTACGTAGGAGCCTATAATAAAATGGGAAGCCGCATCTTGTGAAAATGGAAATGCCCACACGACGACCCTGGGAGAGGGGTTCTTGAACAAATGGGTCTCAAAATTTCAACAAGCAATGCACACTTGCATTGTTGGCATTTCTGTGTCGCTCTCAGAATAAAGATGACTTAGTGCCGGGGTACTTACAAGGCCTTTCTATTCACCAGAAAGTTCTCCGTTCGAGTGTCCCAATACACGTGATCCCCATGTAGTAAGTATACATATTGTTTGCGCTAATAACCTGCTGGTGATGATGCCCCGCGGGCTGCCAAGGAAGCTTATCCTTGAAAGAATGCCTGGTAAAGCAGGTACAGGTTTGGGTCGACAATCAAACATGGCTGGAGCTCAAATTCCCTCATCCTCCTACTCCTACTCCTTCTCCAACTCCTTCTCCAACTCCTCCTACTAATTGCACTACTACGGCACCGCTATTGCGACTGCTGCAATTGCTCCTACTAGGATCAACACTTAGCTCTATAACTACAGTATTGCTACTACAAGGATGGTTTTCTGGACAATAACTATGCCAACTATGCAACAATGGCGACAACGATGACGGCTCGCGGCGATGACGTCAACCATCACCATCGCCGCTGCCGCTGCTGCAAGCGGCACTCCAGCTACGCTGATGAATACCGTGGAAATACTTCTTTTGACTATACTAGGACTACCAACATGACTGCTGATGGGTAATTGCTCAGCCGCAGACACGCAGGTAGCAGCGCTGATAGTCACCCGGTTCCTTGCAGAGAACGACATGTCGCACATAGGGATGTGAATTAACTTGCTGTTTCATGCTTGGGAATCTGACCATATTGGCAGGCCCCAATGCAACAACTGCAACAGCTCCGCGATTGCTTGTCTTTTTCTTGGCGTGCTCTTCTGGGATATGGCGGATCGCAGAGAAGCAGCAGCGACACCCACTCGGCAGTCCAGGTCTAAGGTAGTCTCATAAGCGTCACGATGCCCTTGGGGAAGGATCGGATTCGCAGATTGGCGCGAAAGTTCAGATGCTCGCACGCTCGTTGCCCAGAATCTGACCCCCTTTTGGGCTCTGTCACATGTCCTGATTCCTTAGTACTTCTTTATTTTGACCAGGTGCACCTCGAAAATGAGATCTGAGTTCGGGGGGATCACTTTGTCAACTCCACGCTTTCCATACGCCATGGCTGCTGGAATCATAAGTGTCGCCTTCTCCCCCTGTGACAGCTTCATCATGCCTATATCCCAGCCTGGGATCACCTTCCCAACCCCTACCCGGAAGGTGAAGGGGTATTGGCGCTTATAGGTTGAATCAAAGAGTTTTCCGTTTGATGCTAGCCTGCCTTTGTAGTGCACGGAAATTTCATCTCCTGCTTCCGGATATGTCATGCCATCTCCCGGCAGAATTCGTTGAACAACGACTCCTTCCTTGTTTTGGCGCGTCCGTGCCCTTTGCAGAGTGATGTCCAGCATGATTGGAACATCGCATGGTGGCTCCTTGTTAGACAAGATCTCCCAAAGTTCTTCTCCGTCCTGATCAGGCTCCCCATATGCGAAGACTCGCTTTGTCTCCCCTTCCTCCATGCCGATGACAGCATCTTCAAACGGCTCGGGCACTTCACCCGCCCCTGCGATGAACTCAAGCGGGCTTGACACACCGCTCCATCCAACGGGTGTACCTGTGTCAGCACGCGTCATCGCGAAGTCTACCAACACTGACATCCCTGTTGCTGCTGGGATCGACCTGAACCGAGCAGATCGGGTTGCTGCCACCACCGTGCGCCCCCGCAGTTGGAGGCATTGCTGGGATGCCAAGTGAACAAATGCTGTTCCGCACACAAAGAGCAGCAGCAAAGGCGTGCGTAGGAAGTGCTGGGACCGCACCGCACATTTCATGGCTGAGAACATGTACTTTCTCTCAATGATCAAAGTCGGCAAGTAGAAACGAGGCATGCTCGAGGCGCTCAGTAGGACCGTGTTGAAGTGTATTTCTTGGAGGTGCTGACTTGGGCCGTCGAAAATGTTCTGAATACATGATTTAAGCTCCATGGTAAATGCCGTGCGGAAACAACAAAGCAGTACAGCAATAGCACGGTTCCCAAAAGGCTCTCGATAAACAACTAAAATCCTACCAGCATCACTCGCCACATCTCTGGACTTGCTGGGTAAAGGTTAGGTTAGGGCCTGACACACCAATAGTAACCGCAAGGGACAAAGGCAATCATATAAAGGTCCCTACATATTCACAAAATACCATTATTGCCCCACCCGTCCCAAGTCCAAAATAATTCAGGGTTGAGGGTTTAGGGCTGAGGGTGTATGGTTGGGGTGCCGGGTTGAGGGTTGAGGGTTTAGGCAAGCGCGATGTTGACGATAGCAACCGTACCGTTCTCGCAATCCCGTGAGCTGAGAAGAATACCTCAAAACGAAGAACAGCTTGCACCGAAGGAGCAGCAGAGCTAAGATAGGAACAAGCAAACAGTCAAAATCATCGCAGGACATTCGGACGAAAATCGTATTGGAATACCAGCACAAAAGAAGCTGCATCCTTGCATCTGGAAGTCTTGGTAGCCGGACAGATCGGTGTCGCTTAACGCGGTCCCCTGAAAGATGTGTACCCTGGGCATCATTCGCAGATTCTGCGGCCTCAGAATGAGAAGTTCGAAGGTCCGGTACGACTTGAAGCTTTCTTTAGGTATGGGGACCCTTGGGGACCCTGGGGCTATGATGACTAAGGTGATTTCAAAAGGCCGCCTAAGGATGACATAGGGGCTTGTTTTGCGAAACTCCTACTTGAAAGTTCATGCCAGGTAGTGGGGTACTATGTGTGTTATTTTGAAATTAGTCATGGGACAAACAGCCAAGAAAAATCGGGGAGACTCCTGAATCCTGCAGGGCGTGCAGAGGGGACGGAAGAGTGTAGGTGGCATCTTGGAGGGAACGTACAGTGGATAATATGGGGGACTAAAATCGAGCATCGCAGTATGGATAGTTATTCAGGCCGTTATGGTTCAGGGATCAGTCCTGATAGATCGGACTCGCAGGGGCAAGGCAAAGAAGTATGGCCAGATGGGTCATGTTGAGATACCTCAGGGCATACATATGGTATTGAAAATCATTGTTTTTTGAAGTTGATGTTCTACTCTTATCTGGTGAGCTTGGATTGAAACTGTGACTAATAGGAAGCTCATCTTTGTGGAGTCAAAAAAAGGATCCAAGTACTCGCCTCTTGCATGGCCTAAAGGATCTGAGCATAGGGATTCCAAATGCTACTTGCTGCATGCCGTCCCGCCATATGGGAGTTTCCGATGAATAGTATAAAATACTTATTCTAGGGCCAATACCCTACACCCCATATCACTCACGGCATTGCCTTCTGCATAGGCCCAAGACTGTCGCAGCCACTCATTGACCACCTCCTGCCCAGGGTGACCAGGGGGTAGAATCACCTCAGCAGAGCTTGCTGTGTTCTGGGAAGATGTTGTTGGTGTGGTTTAGCCCTGTAAGGTCATGTTCTCTTTTTGAATACTATACTCGAAGGGAGGGCATAATCTCTCTTTTTACGGGGGACTTTGTATCCGCATTTGAAATACTACTCACGCGATTTTGGGACAATACAGGAATCGTTCCAGAGATGGGGGTCCCTTTTCCGCTTGCAAAACATGCGACCCTCGAAAGGGGCCTGAACTGCCTAAATTCTAGACGCTAGACCCTAAGAACGCTAGCGGTAAGTATACCTACTTGCCTCCCAAGACAATGAAACATCGTGACTATTCGGAAGCATATCCTGCCCATTACTAGTCCATCTGTGTCTGATGTGTGTGTGTAAATAAACCTTATGCAAGCTGATGTGAGTTTTTCAACACTTCAGAAAGAGTACAAAGTTCTCCTGCCGGCAAAACATTGTCAGAATGCATCCAGCGAGAAAAGCACATGTTCAAGTCCACCTCGTTTGTTAGCAAAGGTTGGGGTCAACATGCACCACGGCCCACGACACAAATGCTAGAGTAGCTTCTAGTAATCCAAGGGACAAACAAGCCTTTGCTGGTGCTGAAATGAAGGAGCCCCTGCCTCGTAAACCTCTCGAACCTGAGCGCCTACACAAACCTAAACCCGAAACCCAAAAGTGGTAATCAAATTGTCCCCAAAGTGGGGGGGTGCCGTGCGGACACAGGAAGACATGGGGAGTGTGGGGACAATGAGACAATAGGTGTGCTTGGGGGATTCCATGGGGATTACTTAGGTGAACCCCCCACCCAGTAACAGTGACTTTAAGGCATAATGGTGATTATATTAGCTTGCTCTTCCCATTATCCGGCTATGAAAGGGTGGGGGGTCCCCACTTAAGGTAGTTATACAGGGATAATGGAAAATAAAATGGAAAGTACTATATTATAATAAAGTATATATTGGGGATTACGCTTCAGATTCCCAAGTGGCAGAGAGGTGAAGGTCATCTGCATCCTCGGCGTGGTCGGGATGGAAGATCTCAGCCAGAAAGTTCCTGCTTAGGGTGTAGGGTTTAGGGTGTAGGGATTAGGGTTTAAGGAGCGTCTTTCCATACAAGGACTCATATGGGGCTTTATGGGGATAATGGAAAAGAAAACGGCAACTAAAGTCTATTAGGGTAATTGGGATAGGATGCCATTGCGCATCAGAAAGGCAGACTCTGAACACCAAACCCTGAACATCAAAACTAGCAAAGCAAGTCAAAAAATCAACATCCTGGTGTTGATTCTGGAAGTTTAGGGTTTAGGGTTTCTGGGAACTCTCAGTAATCAAAAATGAGATATCTGGAGAAGTATACGAGCACAGCTTCTTGTGGAAACACCCATGTCACTAGGGCAGCCTACCAGGCTTCCACAACGGGGCTCCGCATAGCGTAGGCGGAACAGTCCAAACCCCCGTCGAAAGGATCTGAAGGTTGGATCACCTCAATAAAATGGAAGCATCCATGTATAACGCCTCTATACATTCCTGAATAAGCCCAGCCTACCTTATAAATCTTCCTGCTGTAACCCCTGAATCTTAGCGTTTCGCCCCAAACGCCACAATCTTTGAAAGCTTCACTGGCAGTTTCATACTGGGGACGATATTACCCACCGAGTGGAGAATTTATACGGCGGCGTCCTTAATTAGGGGGACCCCAGTGCCCCCAATATACCATGATGCTTGTTCTAGAGACCAGGTACCCCTGTTTTTGGAAACCCTAAACCCTAGAAACCATTCTGTCATCCCAGTTTCCATTTGGTTTTCCATGCTCTTCTCCATTTGCTTCTCCATTTTGGTGTTAACGTCCCTGTATAGCCTCTGAAATATCCCAGTACATACCCGAAAAGACTTAGACTATTGTAATTCCACCTTCTTTTTCATTGTCTCCATATTATAACCCTATGTACCCCCTAAACTCTAAGCCCCAAACACGAAACCCAAAACCCCAAAACCCCAAAACCCCAAAACCCCCAAACCCCCAAATCCAGTAACCTGTGTATAAGTCACCAGCGAGCCTTAACATCTGGCCAGTGGGGTTACCGATGACCACAATGTACCTTAGATTTGGGGCTAGCTTTTTGTTGGGTGAGCTTAGAGTTTGGGATTCAGAGTTTGGGATTTTGGATTTAGGGTTTGGGATTTGGGTTGAGATTTAGGATTGGTGTGTGGAATTGCATGATGAGTTTGGGGGGCAGCGTTAGGCGGGGTGGGTTCGAATAGTAGGGCTTGATCATCATAGATCAAAAGCTAATCCTTTGGTGCTAGGCCCAGGAAGCGACCCGAATCTAAATTTGGAAATCCCATAAAGACTACAATGTTCTCAGGGCCTCGCTGCCATCGTCCTCACCCTATACCCATTCTCAGTTCATGAAGGAAGCCGGAACGAAAGAGTCTGAATGGCGTAGAAACCTGAAAAAATAGTAGTAACCTTCCTTTACAGTACGAACTTCTGGCTAAGAATGATATCTTCCGCCCACAAGAAGCTGTTTCCAGGGATATAAACCAATACATTGATTGGAAGTGATTGCTCCAACAGCTCCCTTTGCAATGAAGATGCAGGGAGAGCAAAATGGAGCACTCCAAGGCGTGAAGCAGGGGCCCGAAGAATTCGAAGTCCCTTCCCTGACAACAAACCATCCGACCTCCCCAATGCTAAACGCCCTAAACCCTAAACTCTCAACCCTTGTTATTCATACTATTCTTACTCATATTACCATTACTATTCCTATGATTATTACAGGATGTTGAATACTGCTAATTGGGTGTATTAATTTGGGGTTCGCAGGGGAAAGGCGGCAACTGAGAGGGTTTCAGGGCCCTACGTCCGCATGTGGAAATTCGGACTCTTGTCGTAGGCAGTGGGTGGAAAGGCAAATGCTGGCCGTACTTGGCTAGCCATTTCTGGATGGCTGAACCGATTAAAATCTACATAAGTACGGATAAACCATCCAACTAACATCTAAAGCCTAACGCCAAAGCCTCCTGATCTCTGAACCAAACAGGGCTTAGGGTTTTGGATTTAGGGCTTAGGGCTTAGGGTTTAGGATCATGCACGGGTCTGCCAATTGTCCCGGCGAAGCCTTGACCCCAAACCCTCCTTAAAGATCCTGAACATGTATTCATTTCCGGAAGTACCTAGCCTCTGGATAATCCTAGGGACCCCTAGAAGCCACTTATAAACCTCGCCATCCCTAATGTTTCTCGGGGTTGTATTCCGAAGGTCCCGAAGGATACCCTGTGGACCGGAGCTATCCCCATTTGAGCCATAATCTAAACTCCTAGTATCCCCCTTAAGAACCCCTATAATAGTCCCCCATCTAATCCCATATATAACCCCCTTTTAAGGAGCTTAGACTATAGCCCGTTTACTTCCACTGCTGCACAGCCACTTGCTGTGCAAGACG